GCTGTTGAAAGTCTTTCCCCCTAAGATCAGGAAAAAGAGAGGATGCCCATTCTTGCCATTTGTATTCAATGTTGTGGAGGTCCTAGCAAAAAGAACTAGATAAGAGGGCTGGCCAGTTAGCTCAGCTGGTTACAGCTTGGTGCTGATAAAACCAAGGTCCAGGATTCAATACCTGTACCAGTGAACTGATCCCCCCACCCCCTGAAAAAAAAGAATTAGACAAGAAAATGAAATAAAAGGTCCCTAGATTGGACAACAAGAAGTAAAACTATCTCTGTTTGCAGATGAAACAATCTTATATATAGAAAATCATGGGCTGACCAGTTAGCTCAATTCTTTAGAGCACAGTGGTATAATACCAAGGTCAAGGGTTTAAATCCCCACACCAGCCAGCTGCCAAAAAAAAGACAATCATAAGGAATCTGCTAAAAAACTATAGAACTAATAAATAAGTTCAGCAAGAATACAAGATCAATATACAAAAATCAATTGTATTTCTATACTCTTGCAATGAATATGAAAGTGAAATTAAGAAAACAATTCCATTTAAAATATCATCAAAATGAATAAAATACTTAACAAGTATTTAACAAAAGAAGTGTAAAACCCATACTTTGAAAACTACATAATATTGTTTAAAGAAATTTTAAAAGACCTAAATAAATAGATGTCCCATGTTCATGGATCAGAAGATTTAATATTGTTAAGATGGCAATACTTCCCAAATTGATCTACAGATTCAACCCGTCCCCTATAGAAATCCCAGCTGGCTTCTTTGCTGATTCTAAAATTCGTATGGAAATTCAAGGGACCAGAATAGCCAAAACAATCTTGAAAAAGAACGAAGTTGGAGAACTCAATACTTCCTGATTTCAAAAATTATTACAAAGTCACAATAATAAAGAGTGTATTGCTGGCATTAGGACAGACATGTGGATCAATGAAACTGAACTGAGAGTCCAGGGAAAAAACCCACACTTACAGTCAATTGATTTTTGAGAAGATGCAAGATAATTTTCAAAAGGGAAAGAATGGGTTTTTCAAAAAATGACACTGGGACAACTAGATATCCACATCCAAAAAAATAAACTTGGAACTCTACACTTCACACCCCATACAAAAATTAACTCAAAATGGAAAAAGGCCTAAATGTAAGAGCTAAAACTATAAAACCCTTAGAAGAAAACATAAGCATAAATTTTCACGACTTGGATTAGGCAACGGAAGACTTGAATGATGAGAAAAAGACAGACATGCAAGGATCTGGAGAAAGAGTATTCCTGGAAAAGGAAACAGCAAGAACAAAAGCCCTGAGACAGAAACAGGACCAGCCTAACACACTCAAAAGACAGAGAGATGAAACCAGAGAGGTAGGTAAGGGCTTTATAGGCCAAGTACTAGTACACAAGGCAAAAACTCTATTATAATAGGGTCACAGAACTGCCCCAGGGGGGAGCATTCCACATAGTAAACTATGATGTGAAAGGGGCCTTCTAGAGAGGGGCAATGAAGCAGCTAGCATTAGAATGTATTTAGACAGACCTGACTGCTCTTCAAAAAGGCTGTCCTTTTTGCATATTTTCAATAATTACACTTGCCAATTAGTTATATATGCTGACCTCTTAAAAATGGCATCTCTCACGTTTTACTCACATTTTGAGCAAACAAATCACACAGCAATCCAAATTGCTTACATGGCTTTTTATTCCTTTTACTTTTGTTTCTATCCCTTTAATAGATATATTCACATGGTTCAAAATTCAAAAGGGTAAAAAGTCTCCCTCCAACCCTCCTTCTGAGACACATACTTCCCATCTCTGGAGGCCAACACATGTTATCAGTTAGTTAATTCCTTGTGTATCTTTCCACACAGATTTTATATCTTGGCAATTGTTTCATATCAGGGTATAAAGTTTTCTCATTTTTCTAGTGGCTGCATAGTATTCCATTGTGTGGACGAAGTATTTTATTCCTTTACTGATACCTATTAATTAGAAACTATTTTGAAAAAAGTCAGCTCCCTGATTTTTAATTAATCTTTCATCTGATTAATTGAGGTGATAAGAGTTTGGATGTGCTGTCCCCACCAAAACTCATGTGTAAATCTAATCCCCAATGTGGCAGTGCTGGGAGTTGAGTCATGGGGGTGGATCCCTCATGGATGGATTAATGCTCTCCCTTGGAGAGGGGGGCCTGAGTGAGATCTCACTCTATTAGTTCCTGCGACAGCTGGTTATTTAAAAGATTCTGGCACCTCCTCTCTCTGTCTTGCTTCCTCTCGCCATGTGATCTGCTTGTACCCACCGGCTGCCTGTCGCTTTCTAGCTGCCTGTTGCTTTCTGCCATGAGTAGAAGCAGACTGAGGCCCATGCCAGATGCAGCTGTCCCAAAATCATAAGCCAAATAAACCTCTGTTCTTTATAAATTACCCAGTCTCAGGTATTTCTGTTATAGCTACACAAACGGACTAACACAGATGGGCTTCAGAAGACAGGTGAATCCCCTAAAATGGTAGGTATGTGCCTACACACGTTTCGCTGGGCAGAAAATTTGCATACCATTCACCACATTTATCAAGGGAACTGTGACCCAAACAAACGTTAAGAATTACTGTCCTGAAAGTATGCACTCGTATTCAATAAACATTTGTTGAGCAGAATTTTGGGTTTTGCTGATTTTTGTACTAGAGACTGGAGGGCTAAATTAAATACCAATATAATCCAAATTCTTACCTACTTTATAGAAACTTTCCCCATTAACAAACACTAAAACTGACCAATTTGACCTATTTCTTTCCTGAAAAGAGGTTTAGTTTTCATTTGAACCATGCACAGGAGTACTAAAGAAAGAAAAAAACCAAAATTAAAAGTACCTGAATGATCAAAAGTTGGCTATACAACCTGTCATTCACTATAACCCACAACAGAGGCATCTACAATGTCCCTTAAAATCTATGTAACTTTCCATAGAGTCCTTTCTGAGAAAACAGATCATCGGTAGTCGTGTAGTTGTATGAAGTCTACTCCATGCCAGCCAGCAGAAAGGAAGCTTTATTTATAAAATCTTGTTTAATCCTCAAAACAATCATTTAAGGCAGCTATTATTCCCCTCCACTCTTTTACAGGTAAGGAAACAGAGGCTTAAAGAGATTAAAGTTAAGCTACTTCCTTGCCCAAGACCACATAATTATTAAACTAAACTATACTAGTACAGTAACATAACCCTAAACTAAGCTATTAAACTAAAACATCACCCCGTTCTTCACCTTCAAGGCTTAAAACCTCATCAACTTTCCACAATACGATGGTGTCTGAACTCCAAAATGTAATGATGATCATTTGGCAGTATAATGCAATGGTCAGAAACACCTAGGTTCTAATTCTAGTTCAACCATCTACTAATTGTATGACAAATTGCTTAAACTCTAAAAGGTGCCTTTACCACCTGTAAAAATGAATTGCTGTGGGTTTAAATTTTTAAAAAGGTACATAAAACAAACAGCTCACATACTGACCTAAGAAGATGCTTGGTACAATGGCCACTATCATCACTACTTTATCCTTTTTTTGAGAAGAAACAGAAAGGGCTGCAAGATTTCCCAATTTGGCATAAAACTCCCCCACCCCCGCCCCAAATGTTGGCATTCTGACAAGCTGAAAAATGCCTGAAAAAATTATAACTGTTTGTTAAGTATCTTCTGGCTTAATGGAACATCTTAAATTGTTCTTTAAATTAAAATATTTTCAGGCTGGCCGGTTAGATCAGCTGGTTAGAGCATGGTATTATAACACCAGGGTCAAGGGTTTGGATCCCCACACTGGCCAGCCACCAAAAGAAAAGAAATAAATATACATATGTACATATTATATATATATATATTCGTATAACTTCGTATAATGTATGCTATACGAAGTTATTACGGGTGTAAAGAAGGAAGGAGAGAAGGCAGAAGAAAAAGAGAGGAAAGGAGGTTTAGATCTAAAATAAAAGAAAAGAAAACTGCCATGGAAACACTTTCTAAAACTAAGGGTTCAATAGGTCCCCTTATTGTGGTCAAAACCACAACATTAATTTAGAAATAAGGTTCTTCTAAAACATGTAATGTGGAAGCAATGAATTGGGATGTTATTGTCTGAAAAGATCTAACTGTATATATATATATATATATATATATATATATATATATACACACATATATATTTCGAACACATAACTATACCCATTGCCATACCATCATGAATGTCTATTTTGCCAGCTGCATAATTATTTCACTCCCTATTTGCTTGAATGCTTTATGCAGAATTACGCACCGAGGTTTTGGAGTTTAAGATTATTTTATAACATCAGGTGATAAGAGATGACAGCTGTCAAGTACATTACATCTGTTTCTATTTGCTGTATCTTTCCCCCTGGTAAACTCCTTTGACTCCTATGAACTCATCCAAACATCCTCTGCATTCCCTCGTTCTCAAAACAGCAGAAACGAGTGTTCATTGAATAAGCGGAAATGAGAGGAGCGGGGCTTTTAAAGATGAGGGTTCAAGGCCTGACACAACTTATTCTTAAGAAAGAAGAGTCTGTTACATTTTTCTCCCTTAGGACCCAAAGCTTGAAATCCACGCTTCAGACAGGACTCAAACTGAAATTCGGAGCATCGCTGAACAGGAAAATCACTTTACTCCTGCCTCCCGAAATCGCCATCAGTACTCCCTCCCTTCCCCCAAGAGCCGAAAAAAAGTGAAAATGCCGCGTGGCATCAAAATCCCTGCGGCCGCGTGGCATCAAAATCCCTGCGCGCTGGCTGCCGCCGGGAGTTAGCGCCCGTCCTAGGAAAGTTTGCGCCCAGTGCCCGGCGCGGGGCCCCTTCTGTGCCTTCGCTCCTCTGCCGAGCCACCACCCCCGTCCGCCCCCACCCTGCATACCAGGAGTGCACAGGCCACACACTCGGCCTGCAAAGTTTCCCAAGCCCCCGAGCCGCACGGACTCCCCCAGGGGCTCACCATCGCAGCCCCAGGGTTAAGGCGCCGGCGACGGGTTGGCCGGCTGGGGGACCCGTTATCGGGGCTCGGGATCCATTGGCGCCAACAACTTCTCCCGCGAAGTAGAAGGCGGCGAAGGCGGCGGCGCGCGGCGATGACGTCAGGAGGCGCGCGCTTCCCTTCAGCTCCGCCCGGGGGCGGGAGTTGCGGCGTCTGCCCAGGTGCCACCCCGCAGGCCTGCGGGCGCTGTCATCGCGAGGAGCCGCGGGACCGTGGTCCGAGAGCGGGTTTGCGTCCTCGATTTTTGGACGGGGCGCTCAAGTGAGGGGTCCGAGATTGGTTTCCTCGGAAGGCTGGGCACACAGCTTGCTTCCGGTGACACGTCTGAAGGGCGCATTGCCCAGCAGTAGCTTTCAAAAGTGTTTACTGCCACCCGCAGTAAGATGAATATTTTAGATGTACGTTTCCCATATTACATATAAATATCTATCCTGAAACGAGAGTTTCACCAAACTATTTACCCTGATCTTTATTTTTTAATGTTTGACACACTGAATTGGTTTTTTCGCTTACTAATAGATGAGACGCACAGTTTGAAAATCATGAAGCTAAAGGACAATCTTTATAGCACAATTCCAGAGCAAAAAGGACTTTGGTAAAATCATCTTGTCACCACCACTCACCCCATTTTATACATGTAAAGTATGAAGCCTAAACAAGTTAAAAGGTCCAGCTTTGTTCCAAAACTCCCAGGCTACCAATTTAGGCACCCTAATTCTCAAACCTGTGGTGATGTGTGCGTAATCAGGGTGTAACAAGGTGGATCTCCATAGAAAAACAATGATACCTGAAAGCTTTGGAGTAAATAAGTTTTATATTAATAGATAAGCAACTTAATTGTGGAATAGAATGCAACATTTGCATACAATTTTAAGAGAAAACGAGACCACAAAGAGCTTACTGGGGAAAACTATATCTCAGGCTTTGGCCCTAGACTTTCAAATCCTTATCCACCCACTCTCTGTTGGGTCTTGCACTTTATGACTCCAATATCTCTACGATGAAATACAGCAAAGCCTCCTGGAGTTCAACAGAGGCTAAGCATCCAGAGCTTGTATTTACTATTGTAATATGCGCCAGGCATGCAGCTATGGACTTAGTTCAGCTCATTTTATCCCCGCAGTGACACTGACTACTATTATTATCCCCAATTTTCAAACAAGTAAACTGTTACTCGTGAACCTTCACTGCGTGTGTCCCTCTGAAGCCAGAATGCTAGGTTCCCACAAGATGCAAGTTATGTGACCATGGGCAAGTTACTGTGACTCAGTTTCCTCATCTGTAAAATAAGGACAATAGTACTACTTCAAAGGGTTGTTCTAGAGTTGTTCCTAGTACACAAGCAGATAATAATAGTTTGGGTATTTTGTGGGGGGTTTTTTTGTCTTTTTTGTGACCGGTAAGGGGAACGCAACGCTTGACTTGGTGTCACCCGCACCGTGCTCAGCCAGTGAGCGCACCAGCCATCCCTATATAGGATCCGAACCCGCGGCGGGAGCACCGCTGCACTCCCAGTGCCGCACTCTCCCGAGCGAGCCACAGGGTCGGCCCTGGGTTGTTGTTTTTTTTTAAGTGAGCTATTATTATCATTATTATTATACGAGATGTTATAGAGAGAGATAGTTTCAAAAATGAATTTATCTACTACCACAATTTTGCTTTGGGAAATATTTGATTGGGGATAGTCGGGGGGGGGCGGGGGCGGTCATTAGATCCTTTGAGAAATCAATAAAAACTATGAACCCATTCCCCAGAAAAGTGTACATAGCAGACACATCACACAAGTTTTTACCTGTAATTTCAGAGGACCTAAACCAACTTACAATATTCATTGTGTTGTAAATCAATAAGTGAGTAAATAAGACATACATTAAAAGTTGTACATATATTTTGCATTATATTACTTTTAACTTTTGTATTTCTTTTTAAGCATTTTGAATCCTTCCTTGAATTTAGGTGAATCTTAAGTCAGAAGCCTTTAACTTCCAGAAAGATACTTAACTGAATCTGTTAGATTGTTTTCCTTTTATCTCAAAAATAAGCCAGATTAAAAATGGCTGCATATGCTTTGATACTTCTCTCTTAAACCTAGACTGACTGATTTGACCAAAGAATACACTGGAACTGATGCAATTCCAGTTTCAGACCTAAGCTTTAAGAAGACCAGCAGCTCCTACTTTGCTCTCTTGGAGCTCAGAGCCACCATGTAAAGCCAGAAAGGGCCAGCTGAGCCCAGCCTTATGGTCATCTCCACCAGGTATCAGGCATGTAAATGAAGCCATCTTGGATCCACCATCCCAGCGACTGATGGAATTCCATTAGGTGACCTCATTCAACACCTTCTAGAAAAAAAAAATTTTTTTTAAGAAAAGAAAAAAAGATAAATAATTTTTAAAAAAAATTTAAAGCATCTTGTAGAGCAGAAAAATCACCTATCCAAATTTCCTGACCTGCAGTAGCATGAGCATAATAAAATTATTGCTCTTTTAAGGTACTGAATATTGGAGTGAATTTATTGTGAAGTAATAGATAACCAGAACATAAATATTCTTAAAGACCCAACATATAAGCAAAAGATAAGAATGAACAGAAAAATTGGGTGTTTTCTCCACTGTGGTGACTTTTATTGATGTGTTCATTCAACAAATACTGAGAATCTACTGTGTATCAGCACTTCTTATGTGCATGCTGGGTACCCAGAGTAAGACAGGCAGACCCAACTTCCATAAAGTTTATATTTTTGAGAAAAAGGAAAATAAATGAGTAGAGCAAAATAAATTATACGTTTTCAGGTAAGAGTAAGGCCTATAAAGCAAATAATGCAACATGATGAGATAGAAGATAACTGGGGAGGAGAATGTGGAAGCATTGTAAATAAGTGACCAAGGGCTTGCCAGTTAGTTCAGTTGGTTAGAGCACAGCCTTATAACACCAAAGTTGTTGGTTCAGATCCCCATACCAGCTGCCCAAAGAAAAGAATAAGAGATCAAAAGGACCCCAAAGAAGAGGACACTGAGATGGCACATGAATGTTGAGAAGGTGGCAGCAGGTAGAAAACCCCTGATATGGGAATGAGTTAAACATATTCAAGGAACAGCAGGAAAGCCAGTTTATGACTGTTGCTCAGTTAACAAGTGGGAGTGATAAGAGGTTAGGCTGGGTGGAGGGGAGGGTAGAGATCATTCAGAGCCTTGGGCCCTATCAAGGAGTTTCAATTTTACTCTAAGTGCAAAGAGAAGACTTCTCAAGATTTTAAACTAAGATTACTATGAAGCCACCATTCTGATACTTTGTATTTTATGACCAAAAAGAAAAAAAAAGGATTACTCTATGTTTTATGGCAAAATATGATACCCATTTGTTTTCCATGGCAAAGACATCTTTAAGAATGCTAAAAAGATTTCTAAATATTTTTTTTAACTTGTCTATAGGGGAGCAGTAGAGTCTCTTATCAAGTTTGTTTCTACATAAATAGCTGCATCTGGATTTTAACCTTTGCTTGGCACTATTCTATAATAGTGTCTACTTTGAATTTGTTCCAGACAAAAGACCAACCAAAGACCAGTCTGTGTGCGCCTTCCATTTGTATGTGGTCTTTCTTTGGCAATGAGAATAAAATTATAATTGGTTATAACTACTTCCATGTCTTAGTATTAATTGAAAGACCATAGTAATGCATCTCCAGGAAACTGAAGATACACAAAGAATGCGACAAACTAGGGCTGCTGGTTTTTAGATAGTTCTTCAGAGAAGCACAGAAAAGTCATTTATTGATAATAGAAAACATTAGCTAAGATTTCTTGCATGTCTTCTTAAAAATGTTTTGACCAAAAGTTTTTCCTCATTCTCCTTTAGTCGTTAGTTTAGCTCTTCTTAGTATAAATATTTCTCAAACCAGCTGATGAATAAATGAGACTGATAATTGAATTGTAGAGTCAAGTTAGTGAAAGATAACACAGAAATTGGATAAGCACTCCGGTTTCCAGAATTAAGGGCATCTGTCCCAAAGCCTTAAATATTTCTTAAAATGTTTTTTTTTTTTTCTTTTAATAATGATTTGAGACCTAACACAGGGAAGACACATGTTTAAGGGACTTATTGTATATTCGATCTGATTATATGTGCTCACTGGCCTTGTCTTAATCCTTAAAAGAAAGGGTTTCAGGGAAAACTTTAACATTATCAACAAAGCCAATTTCGTGAAAGTCAGATCTATTCCCCCACACACACACTCCTTAGGAATTTACGTTCCATGCAGAACTCTTTACCCCAAAAGTTACAAAATTGACATTAGCATCTTTAATAGTATGTTTCTGAACTTATGAATAGTTGTATTATGCTTACAATAATTGGCTCTCTTTCCATAACATATACAAAGAGATGAAACATTGCCCTCCTAAAATGACTAAAAGATGTATGTTAGTTAGGAAGTGCATGATCTGAATTTTGGTCCTCCCTTATACTCTAACTACTAGTACTATGTGTAAATGGAAAACAACTGTGATGGTCAAAATAAATTCTCAATGTTAATATGTCTACCTTAATTAACTTATCTATGTGATAGGAATAACCCTTTACTTGGAGTCATTTTGAAATCTTTTTCAGAAGCACAATAGTCACATTGTCTTTCACTAGACTTTTAAAAGTCAACAGAAATCAATCGAATTTTCACTGTGCAACAACAAATGTGACTTTCTGCCCTCTGGATAAATATTAGCATGTCCTGCTTTGTCAGGGTTTATTGGAACATTTTCCTTACAGAAAACAGTCCGTTAGGCAGCTTGTCTCTTTCTGTGTTCATGATGACTGCAGATCCAGACCGGTGATGTCGACCTCGTAATCCATTTATGATCATAATCATTAAATCATAATCTGTCACCATTAAAGTGCACATATTCTAACTTAGGAAATTAGGCACTAACTGCGTCATTTATCCTAATTCTTGGATGATATCCACTTTACCTTCTTAATATGATTATGCTTGAGTAATCTAAGTTTATATAAACTTGCCTGATGATTTTTATATCCTACAAATAGTAAGAAGATTCTGCCAAG